ATATAATGACCACGATTCGTATTTGATGCAACTAGTAGCCTTTAACATTTTCATGAGAGCAAGAAGAAGCATCGTGATCACGGAGGATGTGTGTTGAAGTCAACTATTTCGCGGTAATCTCATCGGCTGTGTACACATACATTCCGATCGCGTTTGTTTGAGTGACGGGTTTGGGCACAGGCCAACACATATGAGGAAGAGAAATCATTCATTTAGAAGACCAAAGGTCACTAATATGAACCGGATTTGGCATTAGGGCAGGGTTAGGGAGAGGACAGATGAAGGAGGACTCTGATACCTACAGGCGGACAGTTCGAGGCTAGCCACAAATGCGGTCTGTTTCACATAAATCGGGCTTGTAACGTCGAATGGCAGCCGCTTAGGTGAACCGTAGTAGATGGCTGCCTTTCTGGTGGATCAAGACTCGAAAGGTGTCCCTAGGTTTTTTCACATTCTTTGCAATCCAGTATAGATCGGGCGATTGAACTAGGCGGAAGCTTAGACTCGTTAGACGCCAAATTTTTCGGTGCATGCTCTGCTATCCTGGTACACAATCGTCCCTCAGTTCTTTCGACGTATTTGCTACCGCAAACACATTGAAATAAGTAAACACATGAGGAGGTAACTGAAGAGTCGGGTTTGTCTATACCTTTTCTCAGTTTAGGATGTCCGAAATCCAATTTAAGATATCATGTTGCTATGTGGATAGTACCTTGCACAGTACAGAGTGAAAACATAGCAACATGACATCTTAAATTGGATTTCGGACATCTTAAACTGAAAAAGGTATAGATTGGATTTAATGAGCATTCGCTTCGTGTCGTGCAGCATTATTAGGGAGGCAGCGTTGTACGTTCTTTCGATCGCTTGTTTCAACCTGCGCACTGTATGTGCCTATTATTTTGATCACATTGAAACGGTATGCTGAAAGAAAAAAACAGCTCTTTTGAGGCTAGTTGAATTCAACACATCCTGTGGTGCTTCGTGATGCTTCTTGCTCTCGGGAAAAAAATCTTATTGCTTGGCCGGGTTGTGAGTTATCGTAACCAATTTTGTTTTTCGTTTCTAATACAATTTGGCGCTAATTACGAAATCCGTGTGGTGTGGTGTGGTCCAATCCAAACCGGGGTTCCCTTTTTC